TCAAAATTAAAGATGTCCGGATAAAAAGTAACCGAAAATAATTCATATAATTCTATAAAGGGGTTTGCATTCATCATTTAACATGACCACAAAAAGTTTCCTAAACACACAATATTTTGTGGGACCCGCATGTTTTGAAGGAAAAAAAAAAGTTATGGCACGTAAAACGAATCTCTATAACATAACACAATCATTTTTCCTACAACATAACTCTTATAAAACCCTTCTATGAAATCCCAAATACGAGACAATCAAAATTCAAACTTGCAAAGAGTCCGCAAAGCGAATATCAACTGCAAAATATCTTCTGTTTCGAAGCGTATGATCAGTTTGGTTCAAGGAGTGTTGTATATTTCATTTTTCTAATAACGACGAATTTTCCCAGGAGCGAGAGAGGTGGGGACAGGATTTGGTGCTTTGAATTTCTGGGAAATTTTTTTTTGATTCTATCGAATTTCAAATGAACAGTATCTTCTCTATGATTCTATTATCATTTAATTGCGCCTCGCATGGTGATTAAGATTCATCTATCGCGTTGATGCAGTTTCTCCTTCTTCTTCTGTTCCAACTTTGGCTATAAAGAACCGAGACCCCTGTTGTGGAAACATCAAATAAAATCAAAAACTTGTTTTTGAATCTGAATTGGGTACCAAAACACATACTCTTGTTTTGATTGTCTCATATTTGAGATTTATAGAATTATATAGATTATTTTTAGTTACTTTTTCTCCGATTATCTTTAATTTTGAAGATATTTTGTTTAGGAATAGATAAAATAAGTGAGATTTTTTAATTGATGGTCGTATGTGTTTTTCTTTCGATTTTCAGTCTCGGTGGCAGAGGGGTGGCAGAGGAAGAGAGAAAGGGGAGGAGAGAGAAAGGGTGTGGGAGGAAGTGAGGAGAAAGAAAGGGAGAAAATGATTTATTTTATATCTCAAATATCGACCGTTGGATGAGATGGTAATCGAACGATATTGAAAGGAGTAGGCAAAGGTAGGCAAAATAAGAGTAGGCAGAATAACATATCCCTATATATATATAGGGTAAACATTTCTACAGTCACTTTAGATAAGCTTATCTACAGCTATCTTTTATAACTATGTTCTCTCGGGAGAACATAGTTATAACTCTAAAGTTGTTTTTTTGTCTCTCTCCTCATTTACTTTTCAAAACCTGTCTGCTGACGTGGAAAGAGAAAAAAAAGCAACTTTAGTGTTATAACTATGTTCTCTTGGGAGAACATAGTTATAAAGTGACTATAGAAATATTTTTTTCTATATATATATATATATATATAAGGTAGGATCCTTTGACACCAGTCTTAAAGAAATTTGAACCTCATCTGAGAGCCATTAGATAAAAAAAGATCAATGGTGTAACATACTTACAAATCAGAGTCGTTGATCTTTTTTGATCTAATGGCTCTCAGATGAGGTGTCAAACTTCAAATTTGACACTGGTGTTAAAAGATCATACCTATATATATATATATATATATATATATATATATATATGGTCAGGATCATTTTACACCAGTGTAAGTTACACTCTTAATTTTTTCCGGTGATCCCACTTATATCTAATGGTTCTAATTTGTTAGCAACGTGAGCCATTGGATACAAGTGGATCAATGGTCAAGATTGAGTGTAAGACTTTTAACTCTTACACCGGTGTAAGAATATCTTGCCCTATATATATATATATATAGGGCAGGTTCTTTTTACACCAGTGTAAGTCTAACAAGTTTTACACCACATCTCAACCGTTGATGGACGAAAATCATCGTTGGTATTTGTAGTGTAATTAATAATTAATTAATATTAATTAATTCGTATAACTTCATAAATTATAACCGTTGGATGCACGAAAATCAACGGTTGAGATGTGGTGTAAGATTTATTAATCTTACACCGATGTAAAATGATCGTCATCCTATGTGTGTGTGTGTGTGTTTTCCTTTTAAATGACACAACTTGTGTCATTTTACTCTCACAAAGAGGTGAGATCCACACCTTTATCTTTTTTTGTCCGCTCTCTCTTCCATGATCTATCTATTTCTCTTACTTAAAATAACACACACTTTCCCACACACACACGCACACTATATATATATATATATATATATATATATATATATATATATATATATATATATATATATATATATACCATGAAATGAAGGTAGAGTATGAACGGAGAAAGCCTCAATATTTGAATTTTGAGTCCTTACGGTCTCACCATAAATCATGACTAGTCAGATTTATTTCCTTTACAATTAGCTGTGTTCATATATCATGTTACAAATAGGGTAACATTTGAGCTAAATGTTGAAATTGTGAACTTAAATTTATTGTCTCACTTTTTGTTATGGTAAATTTTGAAATGAATGCCTCATTTAGTATATCTTGAGTTTAATCATTTTTTCATACGATATTATATAGCATTTGAAATGAATGCTTTTTGAAGAACAATAATCCTAATGGACCTTAAAAGTTTTTATTACTCACTAGAATTAAAGATCCAGAGCAAACATTAATTATTGAGGGGCCGAAGCAATCCGCTATTCAGATGATTCACCTCTTCCATTTGGTTTGCCAGGAAAAAAAGAAAAAGGAAATGGAGATGATAGAAAGTTGTGGAAACGTAGCAAAATCCTCCGTAGCAAGATGTTTAAAAAAATAGTAGCGAGCAAGCTAGGTTTGGCGTAAATTTTGGAGAAATTTATTGAATGATGATTTCATTTTAGCGTTACTCTGATATCATATTAGTTTTATGAGTTTGCAATTTTAATATGAATCTCTGTTTGTTTTTTTTTTATAAATCTTTAATTTTGAATAAAAAACTTATAAATTTTTTCATAAATATGTAACTTCTTTTTATCTATCTGTAACTTTATAACATGAATTTTATAAAGTTTATATTATAAATACACGTTCATAAAAAATTACAAAAATTATATTAAAAAATAATAATTCATAAAATTAATGTGATATTAGGATTTTACCCAAATTGAACTCCTTGAATGAGATATAAAGTAAAATGGTCCACGAGGTAGCTGGTAAAAACCAGATCCAACTACATGTAAGTGAATGTTCAATCTTTCCACCAAATTGTGCCACACATGCATGTATAATTCCGTAATGATGTGATTCGTGGAATTTCCCAAACACCAATTTCCGGTCAATTTACCCTTGTCACACGTTTATGGGGTGAGTGAGGCACAAAACGAGCCAACTGTGTACGAACATGTATAGTAATATGTAATAGAATATTTTTAATATATAAGTTACATTAATTTAATATTTTGAAATAAAAATACTAAATTAATTTTTCAATCGATTTTTTATTAATAATATTTTTAATAGTTCAATTCGTGTAATAGTAATGACTATTTTAATGTCTTATTCTTAATTAAGTAATCAAATTAGGAGAAGGTTATATTTATAAATTTTTTGTTTACAAATTACACTAAGTATGACTGATCATACTTCAATCAAGAGTATATGACCGGTCATACTTAGTGTAATTTGTAAAAACAATTTGTAAACGGATCATTTTCCATCAAATTAACAATAATTTTTGAATAATTAAATTAATTTCACTTGTACATGTTTATTGTTTGGTAACGGATTGAGTGTTTAATCTATTTAATAAACATTAACTAAATATATAGTTCTCCAAGTTTTGGATTTATCACTGCATTGTTATAGAAATAGTCAAGGAGATTATATATTGATATACTAAAACTATCAGCTAAGAAGTCTCGTATTGATATCTTTTACTACGAGTCTACGAATATACAAAATAATTTATCAAAACTTATTAGACATCTTAATTGTCATAGATCAAATTTCAATAAAGGGTTAAAGAAATCAGATAATTTTAAATACTCCATCATTTTCACGAAAATAATATTTTTGGAGGAAATAAAAATAATATTTCACGAACAAGATAAAAATATAAAAACAGCAATCAAAATTATTGATTAAGTTGAAATAATTCCTGTTAATTTATCCAAATGCTTGAGCGGTGAAGTTTTTTTTTATGGACCGTGCCAATTGATACATTTTGGCACATGAGATGGAAAAGTAATAATAAGAGTGAATTCTCATATTTTATTTAACATAATTATATTATGTACATTAATCATATAAGAATAAATAAATAATAATAATTAAAATCCTCTCACTTTAAATTAAATAATACAGGAGAGGACAATCAATTCAAGAAATTAAGAAGCGTGATAAATAAATAGACTTGTAGTTACACGTGTATGCTCCCTAGAAGGCTTCTTTCACACGCTAAGCCGGTTACCAGTCAAATATCCGCGTCCAAGCATCAGTGGACCCCATTAGCGGTCCTCTTCTGCAGTAAATGCTATCAATGTCATGCTGCCATTCTTCGTACGCTCCGCAACTGGCAGGTGCCGGTCATCCCAAGGTGGGAAACGCCCCACTCCTCTCTGTTGTCCAAATTCCCAATCCATTTTAAAGATCCTTTCTCTTCACTTCACATAATATTAATGTCATTAAATGAGACATTTACTTGTATTTTTTTTATAAGATTAAATATTTATAGCGAACACTTTATATTATTTCTTACTTATTTTTTTAAAAATAATTTCACTAAAAATATTAAGTATCAATCTAGTTTTTGTAAAGGCTCCTAAATTTAACAAGATTTACTATCAAAAGAAATAAAAATAGTAACTACTACTACCTTATAAATATTAGGTTAATAAATATTTAATGCTATTCTAGCTTTTTCTTTCTTTCTTTCTTTTCTAAAATGGACCGTACTTTCTTTTTTCTTTCAACCTCAGTAGTAACAGCAGAAATTATAAATCCTTTAAATAAAATTCAATTTTTTTTAAAACTAATAATAGCACTGGTTAAGAAATCTCCAAATTTGAATTGATTGATAGCACATCCCTATTTCCCAAACAATCCCTCTCTTTTTTCTTTCTCTCTCTATATCTATATCTATATATCAATAAGTAAGAAAATTAATAGGCACACTTCCTTTTTGAGTTTTCAGCCCAAAAGGAAGATAAAAAATTAAAAAGAAAAAATGAGGAATATGTGCTCATCTTTGTGTTGATATATAGCACAAACAATCTACAAAAAATCAATGGAGGAGAGACACCCGAACAATTCATCATCATCCACACCCACCACCCCCATGGCATTTTCCGACGAGATTCCGAGCATAAACATGAACACCACCAACTTGACTTTCCCTTTTCAAACCGCTATGTCCACCATCTTTGAAATGATGCCATCCTCCTCGTGTGATCAAAAGGTCTCATCTTTTGGCTTCGTGGACTTGTTGGGTGTTCATGATAACAGCCCTTCTTTATTCGATTGGTTCCCCATAACCGCCGCTGCCACCACCGACACCGCCGCCGCCGTCAACCACCCTCTCCCGTCGCCGGCAAGTTCCAATGTCCCTGACTCCTCCGAGGTGTTGAACACTCCGGCATCACCCAATTCGTCTTCAATTTCATCGTCGTCGAATGAAGCCACAGCAAACAACACCAACGAACAACAGAGTGATAATAATAAACCTGGGAATCAACATGAAGCAGCAGAGGATGATGGTGGAGCTGAAAAAAATGACCAAGATCAAGACAAGACTAAGAAACAGTAAGTATTAAGTAATAATTAATAACATCCTCTTTTTCTTTAATTTTTTTTTCCCTTCAAAATTGTTTTTTTATTTTTATTTTCTCTCTCTCTCTCTGTTATTTATTGCGTTTTGTGAAAAACAAAAAAGAGAGGGATAAAGTCAGTTACAGTTGGAGACAGGGCCTGCTGATTGGAGAGACATTTCAGGGAATTATTCATTGAACTTAAAATAAGCTTCTGCTCTTATAGTTGTTAGTGTCATCGTTTTTTCTCTCTGTTTTTCCAAGTTCTTATTATTGTCTTGTTGGGTGCACAAAAACAACAAATAGGCTGAAACCAAAGAAGAAGAACCCAAAGAAGCAAAGAGAACCGAGATTTGCTTTCATGACAAAAAGCGAGGTGGATCACCTTGATGATGGTTATAGATGGCGCAAGTACGGCCAAAAAGCTGTGAAAAACAGCCCTTATCCCAGGTATATATATATATAAAAACCGAAAAGGTTTTATTTATAAGTTTGTACAAATTATACTACGTGTGACTGATAAAACACTTTTGAGTAAAGTCTAATCGGTTAGACATTGTATAATTTGTAAGTTTATAAATAAAAAAAATTATTAATATAACTGTTATTTATAAAAATATATGAACCTTGTATGGTGGGTCTTCCTAAGAGAATAAAGAAAAAAAAAATATGAATCGAACCTTGTTCAGAGATAAAATTAATCTCATTATATATGTACTATACAATTAGACTCTCTCATTTATATTTACTTTTGGGGTAAAAATTTTCTTGCCGGACACGCAAAATTAATGTGTGTGCCCTGTGTCCCCCACCTTGAAACGAAAACAGGAGCTACTATCGTTGCACCATGGTTGGTTGCGGCGTCAAGAAGCGCGTGGAGCGTTCCTCCGATGACCCTTCGGTCGTTGTCACCACCTATGAGGGCCAGCACACCCACCCGTGCCCCTCCACAATGCGGGCTAGTACCTCACACTTTGTGCTGCCACATCATCATCATCAGTTTCATCAGCAAAATGTGCAACAAGCATCGCCTTTGTCATATAACTCCACTATGAACTCCTCGACGTTTGGTAGCATTGTTCAAGATCATGCCAATCGTCGAGGTTTTGGGTCGGTTCATGAAACTTATTTAAGGGACAACGGGCTGCTTCAGGACATTTTTGTGCCAACACAGATGCCGAAGGAGAGGAATGATTGAATCATTGAAGATCATTAGGTGATAATTAATTAATGATGATATTCATTTTGGTTTGGTGCTAATAATTATACTAATTAGTAATTACTAATTACTAATTATAATTAATTTTATGTGTATGTATTGTCTGCAGCTTGGTATGGTATTTATAACATGATGTTTATGGGTCTGTGGGGGCTTTCTGTTTTAGAGGTTAATTACTGTATAGAATGCAAGTCAGATAGCTTTGCGTTCATATGAAACCTTTTTGGAGGTTGACTTTTGATATGACTATTGGCCTTGTGGCTTAAAGAGGGGATTGAGATTCTGATTTTGTTAATGTAATTGTTTTTTTTTTTTTCTTCCCTTCTATGGGCTTATTCTGTGTAACTAGAGATTTTTTAGACAATGAGCCATTTTTTACTCTCTTCCCTGTATTGTTCAGATTGTTTGACAGGGTTAATTATTCATGCAGAGAAAGCAATATTTTTAGGGTTTGGCCATTAGGGTTTTACCTTAATTTGTGAATCTACTACTTAGTGGTTGACATATTCTAGCTAGCTGAATCTTCCCTGTCAGATAGATACATAAGGCAGAGATATTTAATGGGGAAAGGGAAGTAGTCAAGGATGTAAATTAACTTGGAATTTGATCCTCTAGTTAGTGATTAGCGAAGGCGTTGGGAAATGACTAAAGGCTAAGAAAGAAAGTTGATGAAAACTATGTCTAGTATGAAAGAGTTTTATAATTGTACCGTGACTGGAAACAATGCATAATGAGGTATGGAAAAAGTTGCAACTTTAGTACTTGAACAGTACCATTTAGCTTTTGTACAATGCCTTTTATATCATCACTCTTCCCCTGTAAGCTACATAAAAGCGTTCAATGATGGTGTGTGTTTCCTTGGACGGGAATAGCTAAAGCATGGTTCATTTCTTGTTGATGGCTAAATATGTACTATGTAAGATATATTGGTGTCAGCCAAATATATATAATGATCAAGTTGTAACAGTAGCTAAAGCCATTGTGCTTATCAATGTGTCTTCCCCAACTTCAACATCTTTCATGCACTTATTTATAAACCCGAGGCCATGCATGGGCAAGCTGGTTCTTTTTATTTTTCGGGGGAAATGTTCCAAAAACTCCCTATGGTTTGTTCTTTTATCATTTTTTTCCTTTTTTTTTATCACTTATATCCCTTATTATTTTTTCCTTTTAAGTCCACCTTTAACACCATTAAAAATTGAATTAATCCACCTATTGTACCCCATGTTTTGCCTACATAACAAACTATTAATCTGACATAAAGATCTAGCCACCAGCAAACAAATTGCCCCGTGTGTATAAGATTAACTCTTAGATGGTGACCAAGATCTTTACGTTATACAACATTGTGTAGGAAACTTGAATCCAGCATTAAGTAATTTGTTGTGCTCCTGAAGTCCTATTTCGAATTCTTCCTTATGTGACTGGAAAGCTTCGGGTAATTAGTGATTTATTGGCTTAATTTCTTGATGCTTTTATGTCTTTTTTGAGCAATATCATATATTTTCCAAAAAAAAAAATGTGTCTTTTGTGTAATTTATATTTTATGCTTTGTGGAGGTTATGAGTTTTGATCAGTGCTTGAGCTCTTAGATGATGGTCAAGATTTTTACAACATGTTAGAGTTTATGATGTAGGAAAAATAGGGGTAAAATGGGTAGATTAGTTTAATTTTTAACAGTGTTAAAGGTGGACTTGAATGAGAAAAACCATAGGGGAGGTAGATAAAAAAAATAAAAAATAGGATAGTAAATGATAAAAGAATAAATCATAGCAGAGGTTTTTGAACTTTTTCCTACTTTCTATATGACACAAAGGTGTATATAGACTTCCTATAAAGGATGTGGTTAGTGAAATTAATTTTTATAAAACAAGTTAATAAAATAAATTATTTAAAATTAATATTTTTAGACTCTTAATTATATAAGTAAAGGAAAAGCATGTCAACAGGCTAACATAAATAGTCCAAGTCTCCATATATGACAAGGTTGGGTCAATAATTTGATAATTCAAACATATATATATATACTAGGCTTATTATGAGTCAACTCAGATTTGGTATCTTAATTTATACTTTATGAATGTGAGAGAATGTAAAAGACTAATAAATACATATCAAAATACGATCATTTCTCTTATAATAATACAAAATTGTATCCTTTAGAATGATAAATATTTCTTCCTTTATTTATCTCATCTCAAAGAAAATGATAATTTTTTTTTAATTTGATTAATCCAATAGAAGTTGGGCCTGAGTACACACAATTGATCAGCTTGGTTCAAGTAGTGCTTGAAGGGTGATTGCGACAAGATCAGTTTGTGCGATGTGAGATGGAGTTTGCGGGATGATGCATCTAAGGTTAGAGAAGATAGTTTGTCTAGAATTTATAAGGATATCTACAAGATACTCTGATGCTTAAATCAATATTTGAATAATGAGCTTAAGTAAATGGGAGAAAATGATCATACATGGGCTTTAAGCCTATCTTTTATACTAGCAGCATGACGTGCTTGTACCACCTTAGTATGACGACAAGTATTCTCATTGATTGATTGTTGTGGCATTGTCACACACAATTTCATTTGTGGGATGCCTGGTGAGCTATAATGCATAGGTTTAGCTGGAATCTCGTGCATATTTCTTTCTCATTGACTATTAAGGAAGTTCATAAGTCTTGAGTTGTTGTTAAACTAGTTCTATATTTACGGGATTGTGAGTACACGTGATGTACATGCTTCCTTGTTGTTTAAGTCTTTATTTTCGGGCCTCTTGAATTATTATTGGGCTAGACTCTTTATCCCATTCAGTCCACATCAAATTATTTTAGTTAATTTAAAAAGAAGATTATGAAAGCTAAATGTTGATAAGTTCACAAAATTCAAAATAGAGAAGTGCTTCTACAATAATTGAAATGAAATTGTTTTCAAGAAAAAATTAAAAGAAACAAAGGAAATGGCTATGATCTAAGAATGGACAATTTAGCTTCATTGCACCATAGAGGCTTATACACAAGGAATCAATAATTTAGGAGAGGTGTGATTTGAATTTTAAATTATAACAAAGCCTTGAGATTGTTATGGAGAAAAGGCATTGGCAAAAAGTTAAAAGTACGTTCTCGAGACAAGCTGGAACTGAGGAGGAGGAAGAAGATGTGTTTGAAATTTGTGATTTAAAGACACGAGTTTGAAATTTGCGAATTAAAAGATAAGGTTTTGTGGAAAGTTAAATAACGAATGCGCTCTCTCTGGCTGTCTCTTTTTTTCTATTTATAGCCCATTCACATTAGAAAGTAACCTTGACAAGACAGTTGATATATGGCAACACCTTAAAAGCATGACACGTACAGTACATGCTAAATGTTAGGATATTTAAGTGCCATGAAATAATAAGTTAAATTTAGAGGAATTTTGAGTTAAAACGTAATATGATAAAAGGGATTTTTATTTCTTATTTTATAAGGATAATTTTATTTTTTACATATATATAAAAATGTATGAGTTTTATATTATTTTTTTTCTCTTCTATTCAGATGGCCTCATATGAACCCTATTAAATATTTATATATATATATAATTTATTTTCTATAATATAAAGAATATTAATCCCTATAAGTGAATGAATATTAATCCCTATAATATAGTCACTTATTGTGATAACTATAGCTTAGCCTATTGATGAAAATTTTCCACCAAGTTGCAGCCTGTACGTGAATATTCTCTTCTTGAAGTGATGAAGAAATTATTTTTCTGACATAAATAAAAGCCCATTTTGTGACTTTTCTTGTATTCGCAAACTTTCCAGCCATTAAGCCTTTGCGTACGTGTTCTCTAATTGTGAATGGCGCCAACTAGAAAAGTCGTGTGTTCACGTAATCCAACTAGTGAAGTGCACATCAGTTCGATGCTTAAAGAAATCGAATCGACGAATGAGAGGACGTCTAGTCATTTGTATGCAACCCAAATGATTCTTTGCAGCAATGTTTTAAAATTTGGACCGATAATCAACTCAATTTAAGTGCTCAATTATTGAATTATCGGTTCAACCAAATTTATTCTTCATATATTAAAAAATATATAAATTTATTCTTCATATATTAAAAAATATAAATATATTTTTTTTGTGTGTATATTATCATGATATTACTTATATTAAAAATTCACATAAGAAAACTATCAATGAGTTTCAAAAAATAAATTGATTCTCAAAGATAGCAAATATTATATATTTCTAGACTTTTAACTTTAGACCATATCCTAACATTGGATTAAAATTGTAATGTAAGTTAAATGCACATTTTGTGCCTTGAATAACATAGATAAACTAAATCATGATAATAAATGGTAGGCATGAAATATACACTAAGAAAAAAACGTCCACCATTAAAATTAGATCATAAGTGTTTATTCTCACTTAACTTTTTTTTATCACATATCCAAAATACCTTCTTTTTTTCACCTTACTTTTTAATCATATTTACCACAAAATATGAGTAAGATTTAATTCAAGAGTTCTCAGCAATAAAAAAAAAAGGTCAATCGAGTCGCCGAGTCTCGGTCAGGTCAACCGGTCCAAACCGAGTTGACTGTAGAACCAGTTCAAATGACTTCTCGAATCAGGGAAGTTATCAGGTCACCGAGACCCGGGTCGATCAGGCTGGTCCGAGATGATTTTTAAAACACTCTTTAGATGCATCTTGAATGCAAACTCTAGTAGGAAGAAGACTTACCTAATATATATTAGTATATTAGCAAATATATGATATATTGTATTAAAATTTTAAAATTCATATAAATAAATTAAAAGAAAAATATATTTAAGAATATAAATAATATACAGATAAATTAAAAGAATTTAAAATTTAAAGAGAATTTAATGTGTGGAAAAACTAAATTAAGAAATATAGTGTGTTTTAATTTAATATATGTTCCGGTTATAGATCCAGAAATCGTACCTAAACATATACCGAAAGGCTTCCCGCCTGATCCGGAACATTCCTACTTGGAATTTAACCCATGAACCCGGGTCGTTGGTTTACACCGATAACCCTCTTCCCACTCTCTGATATCCACTGGAAACCGTTCTTAGGCACTACCTTGAGGATAACTGCTTCTCATGACTAGCATAAATACACGAACGATATCCATAAAGGACAAACTCAGTACACATAGTAGAAACTCTTTACTGTCAGAGCATTATTGCACCAACCTTATATCATTCATCTTACTTATAACAATACATAATTACCTTAATTCACTTCCAAACATCTGACGCCATCTGTGAGGATCAATAAACTTCGATTCCCGCCCTACTACCATATGAGCATAATGAAGACAACTTCATCAACTTCACAGCACTTGACGAACAACACGCTAGTCCATCAAACCATCATAGAAACCAAATGACGTCAGGAAGGAGAAGAATATTTGTCTGCGTTTTATCTCAGATGCTACTACGATCAGTGGGTTGATTTCCACGTAAGCTAAGTCTCCTTTACTTTTCATCATTTTTATTTCGCAACTTCATATATTTGTAGATTTTAAAAAAAATGGCATATGTGCATAAATGAGCAAGGTGAACCATTGGCTTCAAGTTCATTGCATCTGTGCATAAAATTGGTGTTGCAGCTCTGGAAAAGTGAAATTATATGACAAAAAGGTTTCAAGAGATAGGTCCTTGCATATATGGGAACTCGGAACATCAACCAGTTACAAATGAAGATTGTTGGGTGACTTGCGTGTGACCAGGAGTGGAGATTCCAGATTTGCATTATTTATGTTAAATATTTCTTCTTTTATCACCTTTCTTAAAAATCATAATAAATAAGGTTTTTATGCCT